ATTGTTTTTATAGAAGTTTTGCTTGTTATTAGGGTTTAGCTTGGGGTTAGGGCTTAGGCTTCCTACACTAGATTTTGTAAGGTGATTAGCAATCCTATTGAAACTCTCTTCGTCAAAACTCATTTGGGAATTCATCTGGAATTCCCACTCATTTGTGGAGGATTTCCAATTTTTGGTATGCATAAGCAACTCCAATCAATTGCAAACAACTTGATAGCACCTCGTGGGAATGAGATTATTATATGTATGAGACAATCAATATGTACACATGTTTCGATTTTTTTTTCTTTCTTCACATTGCTAAGGTATGATTACCATGTTGATTGTACTAAGTTATGAAGAATATTATGTTGTTATGTCTCATGTATTTTTTTTGTTGAAAAGCTTGACAAAAATTGCATAACTAACAATAATTTTGTATGAATATATATATAATCCCATTCTATTAAGGGACACCTTTTAGAGTCCCCTACGATTTTTTTTCAACGTCCAAACCATCTATTTTTAAGTTTACATTCATAGATCATCCTTGCAAAAAATTAGATAAATCGGAAACCGTTTCGACATCCAATTGTATCATACAAAATCAATGAACACGGTGCTTCAAGAAAGTTCTAAAATTTCAATAACTCAATTGAGTGGTCAAATGATATCGGATTCAAGTGACTTTTTGTAGAGATGATCTTTAAATGATTATCTAAAAAATAGACGGTTTGGATTAATGAAATACAATGCGGAGTGGGCCCTACAAGGGTGTCCAGTATTTGAGGGATCCTTAAATGGAAGCTTTCTGTGTATATATGCACAACAAGTAACTTGAAGGGAAAGCCAAGCAAGATTATAGTGCTTGGAGTGTGGAAGAGAGCAAAATGTTGTTATGGCTCATGGTTGATGATGCATCTCGAGGATGGTTTGATGCTAATGGAGTGCTAAGCAAAGCAACTGTAGAAACCAAAATACTTCCCATCCTTAATGAACAACTTAGGTGTCAAAAAGCCTATTCTCATTATCAGAGTCAGTTGAAATACTTTAAGAGATAATATAAAAAAAATTCACGGCTCTGGGTTTGGGTGGGACTCAACCGCAAACAAATTCACTGCTCTTGAAGAAGTTTGGGAAGACTACTTTAAGGTAAGTTCTTAACTTTTCCTTAAATATGTGTTATGTGGTAACCTAAGAACTCATTATGAATATTATTATTTAATTATTTTTTTTATAATCCCACCCGACCCACATGCATATTCGAACAAAAACTTGTGAAGACTATGAGGATTTGCAAATTGTTATTGGAAATGCAACTGCTATTGAAAAAAAAAAAAAACTCATTGTAAATGAAGGGGATGCTAAACTAGTTTTCCAAACACAAGAACAACAACAAGCAAATATTAATGAATGGAGAGTTGGTATAGCTTTGAATACGTGGAGAGATGTCGAGCACAGTGACAACAATGAGAATCAAGGATAATGAATGACTGTTGCATATTTTCCTTTAAGTTTTGCTTTCAAACTTGGTATAAATTTGTCACTATACTCTCGTGAACAATGGTTGCTTAAAATTTGTTATAATTTTGTTTTTTGTGAAACTATGGGTATCTCTGGTAGCATAATCATTTTTGTTTTTATGATGTTTCATGTTGATTTACTGAGATAGAAAGCAACGTTGAAAACTATATGGTGTTGTTTGTTACATAGGCTTGGCTTGGCCTAGCTTGGACTAAATTTAGTACCATGTTTGTTTCATATAATCCTAGTCTTAGTTGAGATTGCTAATATTGGGCCCA